TCAGATATAAAAAGGATCCTTAAGGGAAATAATGTCAGCACCTGTGTGGCATCCATACTGGACTGGAAGCAGAGGGGTTAAGAATGGCCTTAATAATTAAAAAAAAGTGGCCTTAATCACCCACTGGCCCAGAAGGACAGACCACACTGGAGGCACCCGAATTTCCACTGCTCTGTTCTTGAGGACAGCTTAGCCAGAGATGAGACAGAAAGGCTAAAGCACCATAGGCCCTACATCACTCTTCAGCTGGTCAAAGAGGACTCAAAACCCCCACCACCCAATAAGAATCAGAATATCATAAGAGTAGGTAGGAACAGAAATGTCGCCACACGGAACTCCCATTATGTTGGAAATGTCTTTCTGCCAGTGCTTTTCACAGAAACAGATTTTAGGCAAAAAATAAGACAGACTCTTCCCCTGACTTCCAAAGAACCAAGAAAACGGTTGTTCCCTGGGCAGAAGCTCTGGGCGAAGGCAGTGGGAACCAGTGTACCTACTGCATGTGGACCCTGTCCAAGATCACCAGCAGAAACCAGGAAACAATGAAGCAAGGAATATCAGGGAATAAGAAGCCCTTCTACCAAAGCACTATGAGAAAGATCCTGTGTTCATACATAAGCAATAGCCTAAACAAAAAGCCAAAACTCAGAACCAACTCTTGGGAAAAATAAGGCAAAAGAAGGTGTGATCAATGTAAAGTGATCATCTTGGCTCAATGTTGATCAGTGACACTGGTTGTCTCTGAGGGGCAAAACAGGTGACAGGGAGCAAGGGTGGACAGAGACACATTAACTGTCTAAACTTTTGTGCCTTTGAAATATTTTCTTCCATCATATAAATGCATTAGCTACCTTGGAATACCAAAATTTGATTAAAAACATTAACTTAAAATATGTATAAATGATTTTAAAACAAAGTACTTTTTATACAACAAAATGCTTATTACTGATCTTGTTAACTGTGTTCTTGGCACACACCAAATGCTCAATCTGTTGAACTTAATGAACCTCTGCTTAAAGACAACAAAAGAAAATCAGAAACCAGGCAAAGCTAAGGGCATCAATGTTCTAATTCTTTAATCAACTCTTTACCTGTCTGCTACTTAACTACTATGAAAATCATCCCTGGGTTATAAGCTTTTCCCCCAACTGGGCATACACTTCACAGGGACCAGCAGGAATCTTCATCGGTCCACACCAGCCATTTTATAAACAGAGAACCTTTAATCCCCAAACACAACGCCCTGGAACCAAAACAACAAAAATAAATCTTCAGATATAAAAAGGATCCTTAAGGGAAATAATGTCAGCACCTGTGTGGCATCCATACTGGACTGGAAGCAGAGGGGTTAAGAATGGCCTTAATAATTAAAAAAAAGTGGCCTTAATCACCCACTGGCCCAGAAGGACAGACCACACTGGAGGCACCCGAATTTCCACTGCTCTGTTCTTGAGGACAGCTTAGCCAGAGATGAGACAGAAAGGCTAAAGCACCATAGGCCCTACATCACTCTTCAGCTGGTCAAAGAGGACTCAAAACCCCCACCACCCAATAAGAATCAGAATATCATAAGAGTAGGTAGGAACAGAAATGTCGCCACACGGAACTCCCATTATGTTGGAAATGTCTTTCTGCCAGTGCTTTTCACAGAAACAGATTTTAGGCAAAAAATAAGACAGACTCTTCCCCTGACTTCCAAAGAACCAAGAAAACGGTTGTTCCCTGGGCAGAAGCTCTGGGCGAAGGCAGTGGGAACCAGTGTACCTACTGCATGTGGACCCTGTCCAAGATCACCAGCAGAAACCAGGAAACAATGAAGCAAGGAATATCAGGGAATAAGAAGCCCTTCTACCAAAGCACTATGAGAAAGATCCTGTGTTCATACATAAGCAATAGCCTAAACAAAAAGCCAAAACTCAGAACCAACTCTTGGGAAAAATAAGGCAAAAGAAGGTGTGATCAATGTAAAGTGATCATCTTGGCTCAATGTAGAAAACCAGTTTAAAAAATAGGGAATGCAAAACAAAAGGGAACTGGATTTCTGAAAAAAAAAAGAAGAAAGAAAAAAAGAAAAGAAAAGAAAAGGTGACAGGCATCTCTCCAGGGAAAGGGAACTGGCTGACCAACTGAGGGGGCTTATTTCTCAAAATGAGAGAGCCAGGGAATGAAAGTGAAAATAAAAAGGGAAGAATGGGAACTCCAGCTGGAAGGGAAGAAAAAGAGCTCTCTGTTGCATTTGCCATTTGGTTTATTTCAAGCTCTGGAAAAGAACAGGCAAAATGCAGATAAGCCAGTGAACAAGCTAAATTACCAGCCAGAACTCCTCACAAGCTTCTTTCTCCCAGGCCAGGAAGGCCCTGCTGCCCTCCCCCTACTCAAATGACTAAGGAACTTGCTTAAATGCATTTGACACACGATCCCTCAACTTCTAAAAAGCACTTAATACAGTGGCTCATGAAATCTTAATCTAAAAATGTTCATCCATTTATAATCAAGCTGCATCACACTGACAACTGGGGAGAAAAGCCGAACATATTTGGAAGGCTGTTGTGGAGATGGATATCATCACAGACTCTTATCACTTGGAGAGATTCCTTCCCACCCACTTTAAGACAATTTTTAAAAACTGGCATCTAAGAAAAGAATAATTGGGCCGGGGATTTAGCTCAGTGGTTCGGTGGCCTGCCTTGCAAGCGCAAGGACCTGAGTTCAATCCCCGGTACCAAAAAAAAAAAAGAAAAGAATAATTGCAAGGAGACAACTAACAGAGAAACTAAATCATCTGATTAAATGTGTACAGGTACAAATGCCCTATGACAAATGTGATCATTATGTATATAAAAAATGTACCAATAAAATTAACTTAAAAAAAAGAAAACTAGATAAGAAATACAATGCAGCCAAGTGCAGTGGCCTATATGTGCAATACCAGCCACCTAGGAGGCTGAGGCAGGAAGATCAAAAATTCAAGGCTAGCATGAGTAACCTAGACACTGTCTCACAGAAAAAAAATAAAAAGGGCTGGGGATGTAGCTCAGTGGCGGAGGAAATAAAATGCAATGTAACTTGGAAACCCCCACGGATGTCTATACTAAAATGAAATCTACGATGTTAAATGACTTTGGGGTTGGGGGAGGAATTAGATCCTGCTGGAAAATACTGGGCGCTGGATATGAAAAAAAAGCTGTGTAAAAAGGCAACAACATTCTAATGAACAAATTTGTAATTGGTTACTATACAGTAGGCACTGTTCTAAATGCTTTCAATATAATAATTCATGCATTTCGCAAAAACTTTTCTAACCAAAGTACCATTATCATTCTTGTTGCATAGAGAAGTTAAGTAACTCACCCAAAGTCACATAGCTAGTAAAAGCAGACTTAAGACTCAAATCGAGTACTCAGATACCAAAATATGGGCTCCCAACTTCTCTAGGCTCTTTCAGAACTTAAACATTGAGAATAAGAGAGACTGCTAGCTAGATATATGGTGAAAGAAATCAACCCTTGGTCACAGCTCTGTACTGACCAGCCATCCCTGTTATCACCCCGGCCTCAGTTTCCTTGTCTATACATTGAGAAGAATGAATTGGGTGAGCTCTACCTAAGGTCTTTGGCCCTAAAAATGTCACAAGTACATGCAGACAATCAGCAGTATATTGACCGGACTGCTTTCTGACTGGTTATTTAAAGGTTAATTCATCCTCAAACAGGCAACAAGTGATGCTAAGAATCTTTCGCTGCTTCCTGACCTTCAGAAGATCATGTCCTCTCTATGCAGGCAAATGACAGAAGGTAACAAAGGGGGACAAACAGATTGTCCCTCTTTTGGACTCTGCTTAATATCACTGTAACCAAATGGCCCATGAAAAGCTCTGGGCACTGATCGTGCTGAGAGTCAAACCTAAACACTCTCAAGGTCCCTCTCCCCACCCTGTTCTTGGAAGCTGCCTCTGGGTTTGGTTACTGGAATGCTGGTGAAACTGACAAATGAAAATAGAAAGAAACCAAAATAGAAGAATTAGGAAGACCAAATCCCCAGTAGTTTAAATTAAGGCCCTTCATGGTAGTGAAACAAACCATTTGGCTTATTTATCTTTTGGTATCATCCATTCTCTTTGCTCACACCCACACCTGAGAGCTGAAACCGCAGAATTTATTATGGGCAAATTCCAACACCTACTTCGAATTTAATGGACCCTTTAGAAGTACCCGCCTCAATCTAGGCATTAGATGTCACCCAGAGTGCATCTGTGGGTGGAGAAGAGCCTTACAGATGGATCATGCAGTTCCCTTGGGAGTCCTTCTTAAGCATCCCTGACAGGTGGCTGTCATCCGGCCCCTGCCTGGACACTTCCAAGGTCGCGGCGCTGGCTGCTTGGCGGACAGCCCGCCTCCAGCGCTGCTGGACAGCTCTGCCGTGAGAAGCCCACAAAGCGCCTAGAACAGTGCCTGGCGTGGGCCGTGCTCACTTAAGGCACCTCCGACTGGTTCAAAAGCTTCCTCCCTACAACTTGAGCCCTATGGTCCCGGGTGCGACCCTGGGACCCCCAAACGCAGAGACTCCTGGAATTTCCGGGACTATCATCAGGCCCCGCGGTCCTCTCCCACCAGCTGTGGACCCTGGACCTTCACTGAGCCCAGGCCCGCAGACCTGAGTGCGACCCCGGAGAGCCCGGGAGTGCGTTCGACGGGGGCGAGGATGGCCACCGGGGAGGCCGCGGTCGGGGGTGTTCCTACCTCGGTTCCCCGAGTACAAGGGGACAAAGGACCTCCCGGAAGGCGTATCCCCAGCCGTCCAGGTTCCCCTTGTCGCCCGGTGAGCCCTGGGGACGCCCGCAGGGCCGAGTGACTGCCCCCTTGAGAGTCCCTGAGGACCCCGGGCGCGTGGGCTGCGGGGTGACTGGCCGGGCCACGCTGGGGACCGCGGGCTCTGGTTTGGGCCCAATGGCTCCAGGGCGCGATCTTCGGCCCACGGAGCTCTCTAGGCCGTGACTTTACCTGAACGTAGTTGGCTATTGCTGCCCAGTTCGTCCCCAGCCGGGTCCCCACAGCTCCGCGGCTGCCGGCTGCGCTCATGGAAATAAATGCAGCCGGAACCCGTCGCCAGAGCGTCTCCCGCCGCTACCGGCCCCGCCCAAGCAACTGCTGCCACGCCCCTAGTGACCGACTCTGCCACGCCCCTAACACGGGAACCTGCCTGTTCATTGGGTAGCTCAATCGCTACTCTATTTGTCCTACGCGTTCTTTGCACCTGGTTGGCAGTCTATTGGTCAGCAGAACTGCTCCTCAGAATATAGGCGGGAGCCCATAGAGAGTTCTTCGACAATTGGTTACTTTTGACGTCTTCGGCCCCTAGGCCTAGACTCTATTGGATAAGACCCGCCCGGAGGGGGCGGGGAAAAGGGAGCAGGGCTAGAGGATGGGTAGTGTTTTGTGTTGATGTGGGCGGGGTAAAGAGGGGCGACTGGGTCAGCAAGCTAGTTTAGGGGTTCTGGGTGAGATCTGGTGTCCTCTGGGAATGGGAGGAGGAATGTTGGCTGGTATCAGCTGCGGGGTTCTGGTGGGTCCAGACCGAACGACTGACTGTCTCACCCTAGCCCATTACAAAGAGAGGCGATATTTGGAGTCCACAAGGGAAAGAGAGACGGGAGGTAATTAGTCTCTAGGCTAGAAGGAAATGAAAGGATGTGGCAGCAGAGTCCTTGCAGCTCGGGAAGAGGTGGCATCTAGACCCCAGTTACTGGCTCAATGTCCTTTCAGCCTTTTTCAAACTTAACAGTTGGAGGCCACCTGGAAGAAAGTAGGGTTAGGCCAGCTCTCTGGGAGGCTGAGGCAGGAGGATCAAAAGTTTGTTACTTAACCTCTCTTCATGCATCCTCATTTCAACAGGGAGTAATAATAGCAGCTGATGAGATTGACTCTAGTAGACATGAACCATGCCTGGCATTCAATAGGCATTTGTGAAGACTGATTTATCACTTACTCAGTTCTAAAATTCTATGATCTTGAAATTGCTTTTGCAAAGACATGGGCTTAACTAAGAATAGAACACTTGAGTGACTTGAAATGCAATTCCTGCAGGGCTCATGGGGCACACTATCAAGGCACAGAGGGGCTGGAAGAGAGGAAGCAAGAGGCGAAATGGGAGAGCTATGCAGCTGGATAAGGGAAGTGGTATTTGAAACAATGCTATTTTTCCTTTCACGCACTTCAGGATTGTGACAGAAAAAAAAAATGGGCTGTTTCAGGTTTCACAGAGTGTGACCAGATGTCTGTCAGACCCACCTGAAGCCCATTCCTTGATCAGAAGGTGTGGACATCTCAAAGTGTGGGCATAAATCATCTTTCGTGGCTTTTTCAGTGCACAGAAATGTCCTGTATTTATTTGTCTCTGGTTTCTGTTCTTCCTCTCTGTTGTGACTCTTGCCATATTCTGTTTGATCATATGTTTTGTTTTGGTTTTTTATTCTGTAAAGCATTTCTGTGGGAGGCCATTTAGGACAGAATGCCATTTTTTTACCTTCTAATTTAGTAGCCTGTTAAGATTGGGGATTTGGGGAGCCTGGTCTGGGATAGCCAGATGTTTGGATGTGGCAATAAAGTACATTTCTGAAAGGGTGAGACAGCCTGTTTCAGAAAGAACAGGGGAGAAGGCATGAGCCTACTCACGCTCTGGGCTGGCTAATGCTCCTGGACTTCATTTAAGCAGACACGACTGTGACTCAACCGGCCCTCTCTGCAGGACTTATAACACAAGATAGCCCTCAGGTTATCCTGGGGGACAGCAGGGAGTAGTGGTCTGACACATGATGTGCTCTGATTATTCCCTTTGGGCAGAAACGCTGCTTTGTCCATTATTTTGTTTTTGGGTTTTGTTTTGTTTTTTGGTACTGGAGATTGAGCTTGGGACCTTGTGTCTGTGAGGCAGGCGGTGGAACCAATGAGCTAAATCCCCAGCTATCCATTATTCTGTATCTTCAGGAAATGGATGAGAGCAACCAGCTCTAGACTCTCTGCTGCTGGTGCTGGAATCCTGGTTCTGCCCTCTTTACCTTTTGGCCTTAGGCAAGGACAGTACCTCTCTGCACAGTGCTTCTTTCTGTGAAATGCAGATGACAGTAAAGTGTTTCACTCCTGAGGTCCTGGAGTAGCAAATGAGTGAATATGTGTCAAAGTACATCCACAGTGCCTGGCATACACTTAACTTTTAATGCATGTTTGCCATTGTGATGAAAGCCCACTTAAGAACATTCCTCTAAGTTGCTAACTCATTTTCTAAGTTTTGTTTCTTGAAACTAATGATCATTTTAT